GATGTATCTGTATATTCCAGTTGTAACACAAGCAGTTTTACAAAAGTATCTGCTTTTCTTCACCAAGCCCACCTCATCCAGTGTGGCTACACCAGCACTACATCAATTTCATGGCAGGTATCACAGCAGCAGTGTGGAGAGTGACTGCCACAGCATGTGTACAAATAGTAGACTAAGCTGTACAAGAGAAATACTGACACAATCTTAAACATTGTGATGTTCAGAGTGAAGAAAATACTTGTGCAATGTGTATTTAACCTGACACATTATAGCTTCACTATATTACCCGGCACTGTCAAGCTGTAATATAGCATTAAATCAATAACAAAGAAAATGTAAGGTCTTTTTTCCTTCCCCAGGTTGTTTTGGTTCTCTTAAGCTCCCTGTCCTTGAAACTTATGCCACTGATCCAGCTGAAAAAACAGAAGGATCAGCTGTAAACAACCAGATAGATCAGAAGGCTGACAGTGAGTTATAGAATCAGTTCTCTCTTTGGCTATGTATTTACCTCTAACCCAAGCTCACATTCACTTAAGGCTTTGATCCAAAGCCACTGGAGCCTCACATGAGGCTCTCAATGCCAAGCCAGAATACTGAGCTGCTGCTCAAGGGCTCTATTTCCTTCCCAGGCAGGTACACACCCAAGCCATCAGTGGCTACAGCCTTGGTGGGCAGACCTGGAAGGTTCCCCATGCTGCACTCAGCACCTGAGCACAGCCCAGACTTTTTAATTCCTCTTTTTCCTCATTTTTTCCCAGCTAGAGTACTAGTAGGATGGCTCTCTGCACAAACTGTGTGTTTTCTTGTCTTTTCAAATTCCCTTTTGCAGCTTACTGCCCCTCCAGCCCCTCTCCTCCAAGGAGTGGAGGGAACACTGACACTCTCCCCACAGAGCCAGGCACATTCCCAGTGAAATTCACTGGGAGGAGGTATCTGCTGTGCTTCCCTGCCATGCCATCCTCCCAAGCCTTTGTCACAGCCATGCGTCCTAGATGTGTCACCACCTTCTTCTTCTGTCCCTGGTGAGCTTGCACATCCCTCACCAGCAGCTGCCTTGGCACCACCAACAAGGCTGAGCACACGGGGCCTTCATTCTCAGCCACCTGCAAACCAGGAGCCTCATATCTGATTAAATGGCATACAGGGGATTGGAAAGGCTTCACTCTCACCATTTTCTATCACTGTGTACCTTCATTGTGCTGCTGACTGCACCAAACCTTCATCACCTGTGTTCCTGGGTTGGAGAATCTATCTAAATGGGGATTTGGCAGACAGAAAGAGAAAGAGGAAGGGAGACAGCATTGAGGATTGCACCTTCTGCTTCAGCAGCTGAGAAACATTTCTGCAAAACCACTGGAAACAAGGAGTAGCTGAAGTGCTACTGAGGGAATAAATGATTCAGTGAACTTCTGTTAGTGGAGGCAAGGTGTAAGACAGAAAGCACCCAGTTTAAATATAAATCCTGATTGAATTACAGAACTGGCAGTTCTCTTTTTTCCCTTTTTTTTTTTTCTACCTTTCATCTTAACATTTTATAGGGAAGACACCAAAAGATAGTATGTTCTGAGTCCAAGAAGTTGCCTTCTTTAGCAAGAAGTGTATTGAATCACTTCTTGGAGAAGAAAACACCAGCAGGTAAGTAAGTCAAAGTGATAGCAGCTGGAGAAGAGAGCATGAAGTAAGTTTTTCTGAAGGACTAAGTAAAACCACTGCCTACCATCTCAGCTCCTGTGCAGATGAGGAGTTCTGCTAGACCTGTCACCTAACAGTTAACCATGTGCAATAGGAATGCTTCTGAACCAACTCATTCAGCATTCCTTTATTTTATAGAAGTCAAGAGAAAAGGCAAGAGAAGTTCAAAGACACAAAACAGACATTATTTAATTCAACAGTCCATATGGAGTCTTTTTCCCCCTTCTGATGTTAACCCACACAAAACAGTGCAGCAATTCTGTGAATATTTTAAGTTTTGCTTAATGGTTCCAGTGGGCCACTCTTTTTTTCCTCTGATCATTCATACTGTCAGATCCAGTGTGAATGATGTCAAATACTTGAGCTCTTTTCATTGTTTGGCTCCAGAGCATTAGTCTAGGGGAATGAGGACTGTCACTTATGATTTCCAATTCATCAGGGACACTGAACTACTGTTACACAATTTCAGCAATGTCTGCTTCAGATTTTTCTGGCAGATGGGTGATAAATTTTTTTAATTGAGATCATTTCAGGAATATGTAGCTTATATGTAGGATATGTTCAGCCTAATGAGAAGTCCACAGGGCATTTTGAGTCCTGCCTCTTACTTCCACAGCCACAAAAGGCAGAAAAGGGACTGAAACAAAGTTTCAGTAGATTGATGAATCTGTAGATACAAATTTCAGCCCACCCTTCACATCTGCTCTGTACAGGCAGTTTGGAGATCTCCCAGATTCTTTAATCTTAATACCGCAAGATGCAAAACAAGCCTTTACAGATGAAAGTTTCATGCAAGAGAAGTAGAGCCACTAGGCTGACATAAAGATTCATGCTGCTATTGAAATGCCTTGGATTTGACCAAATTAGCACAACAACAAGATAAATTAAATAAAACAAGCAAATCTACAAACAATAAAGATACCAGAATACTTTGTTGCTCTCTTCCCTCCTTCCTGCACGCATCACACAATTTTCTCGAGCATCTTAAGTGGGTGGAGTAAATTCTAACAAAAGTATTAGGTAACAGAATGGAAATGAACGTTGCTATCAGTTTCTGCTGAGCTTTTAACCAGAATCAAGGTAAATCCTTTTTTTCTTTCTGCAGGAAGACAGAGAGCAAGCAGCAACCTCCTGCTGGGCAAGGCAGGGGCGGATGCCTCAGGCAGGCAGAGAGAGCACGGCTCAGCCACAGGTTCAGCTGCCTGGCAAAAGCTGCCCCAGGCTTCTTTGGAAGCGCTGGGCTCCACTGAGGATTCATCCTCAATATCTTCCTCGGACACCCCACTGGTAGAAATGAAATGGGAAGAATGTGGAAACTGGAAGGGTGGAAGGATAATTGGAACACAGTGGATACAATCTCCCTCTGCAGCCAGGGAAGATAAACGATTCCTTCCCTATTCCAAATGCAATGCCAAGTGGTGAACAAATGACTCTGCCTTTGACCCAATGTCTTGGCTGTATGGTTATTATAAGCATAGAGGATTAAATCTTGCTCACAAAATTAGTGTCATTTCCCTTCTAGAAAGGACTAGGCAGAGACAGCACTTCATTCATCCTTTTTTGACACACCCCCCTTTAAACAGCAAAGGCAAAACCAGTTCAAGTACATTCAAATGGGAACTAGAACATTTAGTTTCCATTTCGTTATTAAAGTTTAAGTTCCCCTTGCTCATTAGCATCACAATCTCCATCCTGCAACCTGATCTAGGAGGCCAAGTCCAGCACTCCAGCACTAATATTGCATGCAAAGGTCAGTGGTGATACACACACATTCACTCTTGCTCCAATTACCTACAGGTGTGTTGCTGGAGGAATGGATTAATTACATGGATCCCCAAACTACAAGGGTTTGGTTGGACACATGATGGAGAGAGAAGGCACTCTGTGTGCACAAAGCTCTGCCTGCAACTCCCTGCTCCCACCTTGCTCTTTACAGAAATGGGCTGAGGTGCTCTTCAAGGAGAAGGTACAAAACCTGTTCTAAAAAATCCAGCTTACAAGCGTCTGTGCTGTTCAGCTTTCCTTTATGAGGAGCATGCCAGCCTGTGCCCAGACAGCCAATACTGATAGCTCTTGGCTCCAAGTCCACCTTTACAACCAAAGAGCAGCAAGCGCTCTGCAGGAGTGCCAAAGGGACGTTCCATTTCCCAAAACTGCTCCTGCTTCACAGAAACACTCAATTTCCACATATTCATGAAATTCTACTTAGATATCCGGTGTGCTAATGAGTTACTCAATCAGCAGAGTGAACCAGGAACCGGTAACAAATCCCCCTGGCAGACTTGCCAATGGCCATACCCTTTATTCCAAACACCTGCTGTAATGAGTTTGGACTGAGCATCTACCGATCACCAGCACTACACATCACTCAGCCACACCACCAGCTCCTCAGCACAGCTCTCTGCAAACACATGTATCATTTCTAAATGCTAAGATGTGCTAAATATTCATCATCCTTAATGCTCCATCAGAATAAATTAAATAGAGAACAAGCTAATGGAAAGAATGACAAACTGTATGGACTGTAAACGAGCTGATTTGCCACAAATTCTTCTCCTGGGGGAGAGAGGCCAGCGAAGGTTTTCTTCCAAGGATTAGCGAAGGTAGCTGTCACTTTACTGCCTCTCAACTTCCCTTTATTCCTGTAAAACCGAAACTCCTCCTCAACAACTTCGCCCGGTACACGGGGAAGGAACATCTGAAGCAGGGAGGCTGCAACTCCGCGGCTGACAAGGGAGCCTGGCAGCAGCCAGGAGGGATGCTCGGTACCCGGGGGCTGACCCCTACACGTAGCGCTAAGAACAAAGGCACGGATAACTACGGCTCTGTTTCAAAACACAACGCGGGAACTTTCTGGCACGACCCCAGGTGCCAGAACTCAACTGCGGAGAAAAGGTACTCGAGATAAAGCACAGGAGGAACTCACGAGGAATTCATGTGAGCACTTCCCCAGCCAAAAGCACTTTCTGAAACGCTCCGTTTTCGCTTTTATCCCTCCCGCAGCCCGGGGAAGAGGCGCCACCTGCTCCCAAACGGCGGGCAAAGAGAGACGCTTGCCGGGAGAGTGGCAGACTCCTCCGGAGCGGCGCCTCATCGCTTCCCTCTCCGGCAAACTTGCCCCGGGCCGCGCCGCGGAGCCCCCGCCCGCCCCCGTCCCGCAGAGCCCCGGGCAGAAATGCTGAATCACGAACCGAGGGCGCGGGACCAGGCGTCTTCCCCTGACCCCCACCCGGGGCCGGCCGCCCGGGCACGGAGCCGGGAGAGGCTCTGTGCGGAAGGCAGCCCCCGCCCGCCCCGCCGACACTCACTTGAAGGTGAGGACGCAGAGGGGCCGGTAGGACTTGTGGCTGGTGTTCTCGGCCATGCGCTTGCCCCAGAAGTCGTTGGCGAAGGCGGCGGACACGGGGGCGGCCGCCCTCACGTCGGGGTTGTTCACGATGGCCCAGACGTCGTCGTGCACGAACTCGCCCCTCAGGGAGTTGCCGTAGCACAGGGCGCACAGCCCCGCCAGCACCGCCGCCGCCGCCGCCCCGCCGCGCCGCCCGCCCGCCGACGGGCAGGGGGCCGGCGCGGCTCGGTCCCGGCTGCGGGAGCCCCGCGCCGAGCCCGTCACCATGGCGCGGGGCTCGGCCCCGGCTGCCCCGGCTCCGCCGCCGCCGCGGCGCGGGGAGGCAGCGGCGCCCGCATGGTGCGGGGCGGGCAGCGGGACCGCCGCCGGCCACTCGCGCTCTGCCGAGGCGCAGCCCGCCCGGCTGCAAATAAACAGCGGCCGCCTCCCCGCGCCATCCCTTCTCCTCCTCTTCCTCCTCCTCCTCCCCCCCCCGCGCCCCCTCCCGCACGCATGCTCCTTGCCGCGCTGTCACACCGCCGCCACCTCCTCAGCCCGTCGGCGCCGTGCGCTCTGGTGCGCTCTGCCCGCTGGAAGCTCTGCCCGCGGTGCCCCTGCCCACAGGAGGCTCTGCCCGCGGTGGCCCCGCCGCACAGCGCGGAGGGGACGCGCCCGGCACGGCCCGCGGGCGGGGAGCGCAGTCCCGCTGCGGCGCTCGGGTCGCTCCGTCCCCGCTCTCTCAGGAGACGCGTGCAGGGCTGTCCTGCCGCCCCTCCGATCCCCCCCGCGGGCAGCTCCCCTGGGGACCGTGCTCACCTAGCCGGCGACAGCATCCCACGGCACCCACGTTGCTGCTCCACAGCGTGCATGCTGATCCCGTATCGATGCTGCTGCTGCACCGCATCCACGCTGGTCCACGGCGTCAGTGCTGGGCCACATCCTCCACGCTGCGGCGTCGGCTGTGCCAAACAGTCCCCCACTGTGTCCTGCTGGAGGAAAAGGCATTCTCGTGCCACAGAACTTGTTTTCTCTACTCTGGTCCATTTCCTGTCTTTATGCCAAAATCGTTTGAGAGCTGCAATGTGTCCATACTCTCCCACGGATGACCTTTCCTGTGTTAGTGATAAGCCTCAATAACTTAAGGAAAGGCCATGGTCAGATCATCTATTCACCCATTTATGAAAACCACATAGTCACAGATTTTTCAAAAACCAGAAAAACAAGGACTCTATTAATGGGCTTTTACCCTTTAAAAGAAACCCTTCTGCTTATAACTGAACAAAGCAATAACACTGCTTGGCAAAGAGGCTTCGATTCAATTAGGTGAATAACAAACTGGACAGAGTTTGAATTTTTTCCTGAGAAAAGATGCTCTGGGCAGGGCTCAGCAGCAGCCTGAGCAGTTCCCAGCTGCTCCCGTGCGAGCGTGCCTGCTCCTGTGTGGGAACGAGAGGGGAGAGGAAGCCTTGGAAAGTTCACGCAGGCTGTCCAGGGCAAGCCTGCTCCAGGAATGCTTTTTCCCCCAGCCTATTTGGCACTTGGAGTCATCTGGTATTTTCCAAGTGCAACAGAGCAGGCTTTTCAGATGCACTTTTGTTATAGCTAAAAATAACAGTTAACTCTGCCTAGGACAGTGTGTTTATATCCGGGACAGAAGGAAACTCGACCATAATCAGAGCCTTCATTCAAACTTTCTCTTTAAGCAGCTGATGAGATTTAGGCAGTTGGCTGCATGGAGTTTTCATCAGCAGTGGGAGACCACTCATGATAATGTATTGGTCTTCATTTTGACCTAAGTTTCAAAGCCTAGGCTTGCAAAGTTAGACTCCAAAATGAATGCATAGGCACAGGAAGATAAACAGCCTGGTATCCACAGGCACTCAAGTACCAGAGCCCACAAGGACCCAGCAGTTCTGGAAACAACCTCATTATTGCATGCATGCCTAAGAGGTGGGATCAGGACTTTTTGTTGACATAAATTAAAGTAGTTTTTCGGGGGGGGGGGGGTGGAGGGATGGTAGAGAGAAATAGACTGTCATGTTGTTCAAAGCAAAAACAATGTGTAAGATTTAAAGGTTGAAATTGCCTTACAGTAGACTGGAGGTCATATTTGAAATTCTGAGTTACTCACCTGAACAAAATCTGCACTCCTCTAGCCCAGCTGGGCCTTAGCAGGCTGTCCCTCCCAACAAGACCCCCACACCTCTGGTCCTTCACCTCCAGGGATCAGAGTCCTCACAGCCTTTCTCATTGATGTCTTGCAGCCTTCTGTCCTTCTCCATCATCTCAGGATGGGGGCAGCCCCTGACAGCCTGCTCCTGCCACGAAACAGAGCCCACGGCTGCCACCAGGCAGCTTGGCACAGGGGCAGGGACAGATCTCTCCATTTGTTATCCAGGGCTGTGGGACACGTCCCTCCTGTGTCACAAGCTCTGCTGTCCACTCCTTCAGCTTAATTAGCTCTTTACAGAAAGCTCACCAAAAATGCAGAGTTCTAAACCAGCAAACGATGAAGAGGTGATAGAAAATAATTTTCCCATTAAGGAATTTGCTGACAATATCTTCTGACAGTATCATACACAGCCATCTAACATCACATCGTACAACAGGCACACTCTATGGAATAAATAACATTGCTCTTCATACAGAGCTACAATATCCTGCTCTCTTCCATAACCCACCATGCTTGATTAACACCAAAAAGAGAGAGATGGCAGTCCTGACTCGTTCAAAAAGAGAGATATAGCAGTCCTGACCCACTCAAAAAGAGAGAGATGACAATCCTGACCCAGTCAGGACTCCTTCCCCTCACACTCTTTAGGAGGGCACCTACACAGACCATTGGCTTTTGTCTGGCACACACCTAGACTTTGCAATGGAGCAAAACCCAATGTGTTTTTAAACTGTTTCTTATGTGCTTATTGAAATGTTATGTATAACATGTAGTCAACACTGATTTGCTAAATCTTTATATGACAAGAAAATCTATTCTCACTTCTCTAAGACAGACCAGTTCTTTCCTTTCTTCCCTCAGCAAACATCTGAAAGAGACAAAGCAATGCTCCAGCCAGTCAGAGAGGAAGACCTCCTGTTCTTCACACCAAGACCCACTGAAATACTAACACATCATCTACTTTCTCCACAAAGGAAAGCATTACCTCTTCATGCAGCAGTCACTTCGCAGATTGAATTCAAGATGTTGTCTGTTGCTACAAGTCCTGCCCACCTATAAAGAAACAGCAAAAAGAATTCAGAGGGCAGAAGAAATATTGAACTGTGTTCTGGATGTCAGATCTGTACAGATATATGCAGTCACAGACACAGAGGGAGATGAAAGAGAGACAGAAAGAAGAGAATACAGAGATAGGATGATTTGCTCCAAAGTTGCTTTGTCACTTCCAAAAATATGTTATCTAATAAGATGTATTTCCTTCTTCTGCAAGCCTCAGTTCTTTCTCTACCTAAAGTAACCATGCCATTGCTTCTGAAATGTGAAGCCAAATTGCTTCTCAGAAAAGCCGAGCTGGCTTCTGGAATTATGTGTAGTTGAAGTACTCCAGCTATTTTCCTGCTTCCTTGTATTTGAATCACAAGTTTTGTGCCAGCTATATAAAAAAGATTAACAAATGGCTGTTAAAACTAGAGACCTTGAAACTAATTATGTGCGATGCTGAAAAAATCCTTGCTCTGCTAATTGAGCAGAGCTCGTTACTTCCAAAGCAGGAAAGTTTTGCCTCCACTTGGAGTAAAACACACGGCAGCCAATGCAAGGCAGGAGACACATTTGAGCAGATACACTTCAAAGGGTTGAGCACTGATTGATCTGCTATTATCTGACAATTGCAACTGCTCAAAGGCAGAGAGAAACTGCAAATGTTTTGAGTTTCGAGCTTAAACACGGAGTTCTGAAGAGTCAAGCTTTGCATTGACTGATTAAAGTCTAAGAATGCAGTAAATACAATTTAAAAGTTAAATTACCATATGGTCATAGCTAGAGGTAAATTTCAAAAGTAGCACATGTAAATAGTTTCTTGCTGTCTGAGCAAATAATTTTACATTTAAATGAAGTAATTTGGTAACTGGTCCAATTGATTTCTGCTTGTAGTCAGTTACTGCAATTCATTTCAGTTGCCCCAGGATGAAACTCTGTATTTGCCACACAGAGAATCTTCAGTGGATACAGATTATGTTAGAATGGTTAAAAACAAACCAGATTTGGAATCTTAAATCCAGGTGCTGCCTCTGCTCAAAGAGCTTTGGAGAGACAGAGAGCAATCCATGTGGGCCTGAACCACTCCAAGGGATTCAGTGCAGGAATAATTTGGTTTAGTCAACTAGGATTTGCATTTTGGAGTTACTGGGAGTACTACAACAGTGAAAGGCTGTACTGAGATTTGCTGGGAAAATCCTAATTACAATCCTTTTTTCCTTCTTATCAAATTTCTTCTAAGTCTACTCAGGCAACAGAAAGTTTCTCTTTGGTGAATTCTTCCTAAAGCCCAGTGAAAGTTCCCATGTTTTTGCTTTCACTTTCAGCTGTGGCCAAGAGCCAGAACAAGCAGGAGAGGAAAGCTTAGTACTTGGTCCTGTGATCCCTAGGAGACAGAGAAATCCAATATCCTCAGGATGACCTATCCTTTTCAAAGGGGATATAGCATTTCAAGTTCAGCCCACAACCCCCTAGCAAGCCTTCTCACCATGGCAGTCACAGACTGTGCTAAATATCAGCCCTGAAAATTCCACCCCCTCAGTATTTACCAAGGGATATCAACAAGGAGATATCCCATGATAAGCACTGCTTGGTGGAGCCTCATGGATGCTCATTTCCCACCCCTGACACAGATGGCAAGTAGCAGAAGATCCTCTGTGACCCATTTTCACATCCATTTGTCACCTGTTTCATATGCTTGCACAAAATGAGAGATTTCAAGCCCAGAAAAAGCTTGCCATAGTTGTTACTGGATTAGAGGGAATCTCTTTTTCAGCTCATACAACAAATGCATTTTCTGCCTTTGAAGAGACCTGAGTTAAGCCTTGGTCTATGGGCAGGACTGTTCACAGTCTTTGAGCACCCACAGTAGAGGGAACATCCATGATTTGACACTCTACCAGCAAATGGTAGAGTGACCTGGGTTATGTTATCTCAGTTCAAAGGTCAGGGACAATAAAAAGGTGGGACAAGCCCCAGTAATGACAATAATTGGATTCTTCATCTGCTGAGAGGAGGCAGACTATGGCATAGGCAGATTAGATTCTTCACCCATAAGCTGAGGGGATCAGTACTTTCA